CTGAATAATCTTTAAGCTAGTATTACACATCCAAATTCTAACTTTTTCCAGTTACGAGATAATGGTTCCATGTCTTCCAGAAAGTTGCAGAGCAGTTGATTTTATGAACATTTGCTAAAGATACCAAATTTCTACATCATAACTCTGTAGAGCTATAATAGATTTTCTTTTAAGACTACCTTAATATTGGTTTTTTGAGTTAATTAGTGCTTTTTTTCAAATTTGATCAATTTATCATGTTCTAAAAAATTGTTGGCATCATTAAAATATACAACTTTGCTGAATACACCAATGCTTTTCATTGACATCTATGTGATATACAGCCCATCAAGCGTTTTTGTGACGTCATATTCAACGGCTCGAAAAGAGGGTGGGCGGGCCCTGGCGGGGTCTAAAACTGGCTGTATTTTGAAGATTACCTTATAAAATAGTACTTCTGAAAATTTCAGCGTTGGGTACTGAGGGGTACCTAGTCAAATCTCGATTCGAAAATGTCAATATTATATACAGCCCATCGGACGGTTTTGTGACGCCATATTGAACGGCCCGAAAAGATGGGAGGCGGCCCCTGGCAGGGATTAAAACCGATTGAATATCGAAGATTACATTATAAAATAGTGCTCCTGAAAAGTTCAGCGTTGGATATTGAGTTATGAATCAATGATTTTAACCTACACGTGTTTGAACTTGCAAATTATTTAAATTATTAAGCTTAATCTGGAGATGTATTTAATGGGTTTGTTCTTAATTTGTTTGTTATTCAGTGTACCTACATTGATATGTACATTCATTGCAATATTGATACTCATATGTTGATAGTTGCAAATATTATAATGCAAGCTTATAATATTGGTATATTCCTTGCCCTTTATTATATACAATATGGACTAAAATATTCGCAATACCTATCGGTATAACTTTCAATAAAACTAGATTAAATGATAAAATTCTGTCTACGGTTCCAACTTTGGACCTACCCACCCCACCCTCTTTTCAGAACATAGAACGTGACTTCACAACAGATGTTTGAAATTCCCGCGTGCACATCGTTGAACGCTGCTGCAGATGACTATTTTGTGCTTGACGTTTTGGCGATAGCAAAGAGCGATAGGGTTTATTTAATTATCTAGGTGTGATTTTTTTCACGAACAACTTGTATTGAAGTTGTGGTTCAAAATGAATTCATTCAATCTTTGTCGGATGGAATTGTTCAAAGTGTGGGCGGAGAAGATTCACGGAAATATTATCGAAGATAGTCAGGTAAGGAGTAATTAAAACATATTTTTTTCAATATTGGCATACTCAAAATATCAAAGTTCAGAATATACAGTTGATGAACAAACCCATTGATTATATTTCAAGATAATGCATTTTTTATATAGTTGTAAATTTTATCATGAGTAAGTAGCACACTCGTAGCACACATTGGTTTATAACTTGTACTAAATATATATAAACGAGATTTGACTAGGTACCCCTCGGTACCCAAAGCTCAAATTTTTAGGAGTACTATTTTATAAGGTGATCTTCCAAATACAATCAGTTTTCGACTACATCAGGGCCCGCCAACCCTATTTTCGAGCCATTGAATATGACGTCACAAAAACGCATGATGGGGTACATATAACATTGACTATTTCGACTCGAGATTTGACTAGATGACCCTGGAAACCCAGAACTGAACTTTTCAGGAGTACTATTTTATAATGTAATCTTCGAAATTCAATCGGTTTTAAACCCTGCCAGGGGTCGCCTCCCATATTTTCGGGCCGTTCAGTATGGCGTCACAAAACCGTCCGATGGGCTGTATATAATATTGACATTTTCGAATCGAGATTTGACTAGGTACCCCTCAGTACCCAACGCTGAAATTTTCAGAAGTACTATTTTATAAGGTAATCTTCAAAATACAACCAGTTTTAGACCCCGCCAGGGCCCGCCCACCCTCTTTTAGAGCCGTTGAATATGACGTCACAAAAACGCTTGATGGGCTGTATATCACATAGATGTCAATAAAAAGCATTGGTGTATTCAGCAAAGTTGTATATTTTAATGATGCCAACAATTTTTTAGAACATGATAAATTGATCAAATTTGAAAAAAAGCACTAATTAACTCAAAAAACCAATATTAAGGTAGTCTTAAGAGAAAATCTATTATAGCTCTACAGAGTTATGATGTAGAAATTTGGTGTCTTTAGCAAATGTTCATAAAATCAACTGTTCTGCAACTTTGTGGAAGACATGGAACCATTATCTCGTAACTGGAAAAAGTTAGAATTTTGATGTGTAATACTAGCTTAAAGATTATTCAGGTGTGTATTTCAAAAGATGCGAGATATAATTTTGAGCAACTTCTCCCAAGACACCCAGTCTCTAAAACGTCGAAAAAGGGTAGAAAATATTTTTGACCGTCTTTATTCATATTCGTGCCACTGTGCGCCGTCATACGCAAGTTGTCTCAACGTACAGTTGTCACTTAGACAATTGTCAATTTCTCTGACGTAGAAATTATACAAAAGGGGGCTTAAACATGAGCCCTGGGGGAGACCCATGTAACTAAATCGAGAAGCTGTAGAGTTTCCATGAGAAAAGCTCATATGTTTCTCTGACAGCAAATTGTACAAAAAGTTATTCATCAATGGAGAAAGGCCACAAGCGTGGAGTTTGTCTGAAAGGACTTCAACCGATACTGAATCAAAAGCCCCCTTGATATCCAAGAATTCAGAAGCCATTTGCTTTTTTTTTAGCAAAAGCCAACTGAATTTCTGTGGAAAGCAACGCGAGACAGTCGTTCGTTCCCTTGCCCCTACGGAAACCAAATTGAGTATCTGAGAGTAGGTGGTTCGTCTCAACCCATTTGTCCAAGCGAAAAAGGATCATTTTCACCAACAATTTTCGAATGCACGATAACATCGCGATGGGACGATACGAGTTATGATCTGACGCGGATTTTCCAGGCTTTTTAATGGCTATAACTCTCACTTGCCTCCAACCATCCGGAACAATATTTAGCTCCAGGAATTGACAAAACAAGTTCCATGCGCCTCTTAGCTACGTCTGGGAGGTTCTTCGACAAGTTGAACTTGATTATATCAGCCTCCGGAGCCGAATTGCCATACGAAAGGAGCACGAGTGAGATCTCCAGCAAAACATTGACAAGTTGTAACTTTGTTCTCTTAAGCTCAATTGAGCTGAAACGTTCACCACAGAACTACAAATATGTTCAATTTTACGATTACAAAATTCCAAATTTTTGGAAGCACCTGCCGGAAAGTGAGACACTAGGTAAAATAGTTCAAAATAATAGCAGTTTTTGATTTGGATGCTTCCAAAAATTTGGTATTTTCTAATCGTAAAATTGAACATATTTGTAGTTCTGTGGCGAACGTTTCAGCTCAATTGATCTTAAGAGAACAAAGTTACAACTTGTCAAAGTTGAAAATTTTGTATGGAAATCGGCATGCGCTGCTATTATATTGAACACAACTGTAGGACCTTTGAGGTGGAGATAGTCCACTAAAAACTTTTACTCCGGCAAGTTATTGGTACAGTTAGCTGTTGCTATTTTATTTTTCCACAAAGAGGAAAAATATCGAGGATAAATTAATGAAAAATAGTTTGCTGCCAATGTACTGAAAGCACGAGCTTCCACCTTTGGTCTGGTATTTTTTCATCGGTATAATAAGGTTGACCCAGAGGGTTTCTAAAAACAATAATTCGATTTATGCTCGAAATCCTGTTGACACCAATCGATACAAATGTCCCTAACTACGACGAACTGGTTGGGTGTTTCAAAACATTGGTGTCCAGTCGTCCATAAAGACCTATGAACTGTGCAGAGTTTTCCAGAAGCTGTTAAAATCTATAGCACGATTAAACAGAAAAAATAAACAATATGTTAAATTTTTCTGTCGGATTATTTTAAAATCTATAAAAACTAAAAGTGAAGTTAAGGGGATACATATAAGTAAGTCGGTAAAAAATCATGGGATGGTATAAGCACACATTTTTTTTAGAACTTGTTTTCAGGGCATTTTTTTCCTCGATTTATTTTCCGTCGATCTTGTTTTCCGTGCTGAGCACCAATGCTATCAACGCCAGGGAGGCAGCAGCTCCCACACTTGGACCCTACCTATCGACCCATCAAACTCATGAACCGGGGACCAACGGCTTTACTTCCCTTCCAAAGGAAGGCGTGATCAGAGATGTTATGCCTCAGAACATCCCGGTGGCGCCGACTGGGATTGAACCCAGGCCTGCTGGGGTGAGAGGCAATCACGCTTACCACTACACCACCAGCGCCGCTATTTTTTTCAGGGCATCAAAATATACATTTTCAACTATAAACAAAATAAATATGAAGGCATTTGGTAACAAAATTGCTGAGATATTCGTATTGGAAGTTAGTGGTTTTAAAAGAACGGGTCCCTCGGTATCTCATCACTGCTTTGACCAAATTGGATCAATTTTGGGATGAAGACTCATTAAACAGCTCCCGTGTTTATGACGAAGACCGATTTTTAAAAAGTGGACTTAAAATTCCAGCTTCGTAAAGCATACGGGATACATCTTGTGAGTCTCCACCTCAAATTTCAGTCAGTTTGGTCCATCCAGTCCTGATATATCGTGGGACCCGTGTATCAACTCTGTGTTTCGAGAAAAACGCTTTGCAGTAACAATTAAAATTAATTAAAACATTGCAACGGCTATACAAAATATCTGATTTATTGAGATAAAAGTAAGATTTTTTCCTTATCCCTAGTGATATTCATATGGATTATAATATCAGAGCCTTACCGCCTTATATTATGCTTTCCAAGAATATCAGTATCGGATGTGAAATTCAGACATTATTGACAGCACGCAGCACTGCATAAGGTTAAATAACCAGTTCTTAGTTCAACTTAACTTTGTTGAACTGCGTTACGTCCTTTAAAAATGTGCCTTTTGAATATTCTAGTCAAAACCTGAAATATTGCACTAAATGCATTATCTTACCTGATAGGCAGTAACAGCAACAAACTCCGTCTCAGGGAACACGAACGCCTGTTGGGCAGCCCACGGAATCTGCGATGGATCCGCCGTCCGGATGATGTGTATCCGCGGCTGGTACTTATGCATGCTGGTCAGCACAACCTGTAGGAAGTGGAAAAAGAGTAAATCATCACTTGAGAACACACTCTAAACGAATCTACTATCAAACGTGATAATCACGGCCCATATAATCCCGTTCTCATTATAGCACGATTAATAACATACAATGTATCCCCCATATATGACGGATACGGAAAAAAACAATCACTCCAGCTCATCGCAACTTACGTGTCCATTGTTGTCCAGTGTATTATTGGTGAGCTTCACCTTGTTGAACACAATCGGCTGGGAGGCCCAGTGCGTCCCGAGGGCGGGACTGTCCGGATGGAGGCAAAACCGTTGTGGACTCTGCGGCTCGGCGCCACCCGCCGGAACCCACTGGGATCCGCTAAACTTGAACCGGCAGTCGCTGATGGGCATCATCTCCAGCAGCACGCAGTAATTGGTGTCCGCGTCCAACCCGTCCACGGTGAGGCGCATCGAGGGAAACATACGTCTGTTGGCAGGAGAAGAAATGGGAAAGACTTGAAACATGAAACGATGATGCTGATGAAATTGAGGCGGAAGTAAAACGACCAAACTGTTTTTTCGGGTCTGCCTCTATCAGTCAATAATAATCATCTCCCAGTTGATTTTGTTGTTGTTGTTGATAGTCATCAGCACCCACTCGGTCATTTTCGAAGCTCTTTGGCAGCCTATTTCCTGTCGCCCGTTCGAAAGGTCTCTTAAGCATACAAACTTCCACCGAACTAGGACGTCATCAACGGGTGCCTCCGTCCAAAAGGTAATAATTATATGGCTAGTTATCGTCAAATTTATGGTCACCGAATCACCTAGCAGACCCGGGCTGCCCATTGATTCACCATTATCTCAACCGAAAATCCAATACCTTTCCGCTTCCAGTAACCCACCCAGAAAAGCAACCTATCAAAGAAATTAGCACTGAAAGACAGTTTTAACCAACAAGCTGCCAAGACGTGAGGCCAAAACGCCAATAAAACGCAGCATAATTTGTGAAAGCACCTTCGAACAGCAGACCAACGGCGAGCGACCTGTCCCTGCCCAACCCAAGTCCAGTCTATGCGCCGTCGACGACCGTTCAGAATCTGGAGAAAAACCAACAAAACCACCACTGACAGGCTGGATTATTGGACACACAACAGAGTGCAAAAAAAAAGACAAAGGCTCGCATCCCAAAAGGCACCAGCAGCAACAGTGGACCTCACCGAGGAATCGAGTATAATTTCTGGGGCCTTTCCTAAATTATTATTTCATCGCTACAAATCAATTTTAATGATACGTTTTCACAAATTTTCAGTGATGTAGTACATTGCTGTTTTCTCTTCGTTTTCTCGGTCGGTTCGTCCGCTCGGTTACTTACAGTCACTTTTTTGTTTGCTTTGGTCAGCCAATTTTCCCTCCACCGGTCGGAGACCTACAACAATACTTATTCGTAGCTGCTGCACCAGACCAGCTCAAATATTTGGCAGCATGTGTGGTGTGGTGGCTCATTATGTGGTTGGTCAGCATAAAATTGCATCATTTTCAACGACTCCGGTGTGCTACGGGTTCGGCAGGGTGTAATGGAGTTCACCGCACACTTATGCGTTACTCTAGATGAAGCGATTCATGGTCGACGACATCGTCGTCCTCGTCAGTGGGGATGGTTCGTTTGGCTCTTGATTCAAGGGTGGGAGAAACGACGATGTAAATGCGGCACACGGAGATGATTCGAAGCTATAGTTTGTGACCTTACATCGATGGTATTGACATCAGTGTACCCTCATGGAACGGATCTTACTGTTGGCTATGCTTAATTTCAACTAGCATTCTAATTTTATGAAGCTTAGTGGACTTTCCGAGATACCGCTTAATGTTGCATCAGAATCAAGTATTTCAATTTAATCAAACAGTAAAGCCGTTGGTCTCCAGTTCATGAGTTGATGGGTCGATAGGTAGGGTCCAGGTGTGGTAGCTGCCTCCTTGGCGTCGGTAGCATTGGTGCTCAGCACGGAAAACAAGATCGACGGAAAACAAATCAAGGGAAAAAAACAGGAATGCTTCCTCTCACTTGCTCCAAAAACGGTTTTCTGAATCATTAGATGTTATAATTATATTTTGTACTTGTTAGATACAAGAAGAGGTTGAAAGGCAAGTGTTCGACACATACAATCTCTCAATTTAGCTTCCAGAGTGTTACAATCAGCTATTTTATGATTCACTTTACAGAGCCAAGGATCCTTGTTCATTTTACAAAACATCGTAAAGCTATATTCAAAAGGTACAGCACATCAAACACTTTATCTTCCGCTATCCAATAATCCTGCTCCATCAGAACGGAATCTGCTTCCAGTTGTTGCATTGTATGGCAGTATCGCCAATGGGGGACAGAGCGCTTCCATTGCAGCAATGGACGCAAATTCGAGAGTGGCCTGCTTCTATCGACAGCCGAGTGAGCACTGGTGAAGCAAATGAAAATAAAAGGTTGAATGACTACAATCCCAAACGGTACGTATTGATAAAGAATATATTTTCATTTAAGATGTTGTTTTTTCCTTGCTTTTGTTTTCCGTCGATCTTGTTTTCCGTGCTGAGCACCAATGCTATCGACGCCAGGGAGGCAGCTCCCACAGCTGGACCCTACATATCGACCCATCAACTCATGAACCGGGGACCAACGGCTTCACTTCCTGTGATCAGAGATGTTATGCCGCAGAACATCCCGGCGGCGCCGACTGGGATTGAACCCAGGCCTGCTGGGGTGAGAAGTAATCACGCTTACCACTACACCACCGGCACCACTGTTAATTTTAGATGTCGTTTTAGATGTAGTCAGCGGGTACTGTGCCAAGTTGCAGAGCGTTACAACTTAACTCACCAAATTTTCACTTAGATTTGACACTTCGAAAATAAATTAAGATGTTCGAAAATCCCTCTGTTTTTTTTTTATAATTACTTTATTTGTACAGGCTCAATCGAATAAACTTTACAAAGCCGAGTTATCCTTTGCGTTATACATTATTACTGTCTTAAATTTAAAGTTAAAGGAACTGGACCGAGTACTCGCGGTTGTCTCGAGGTTAGTGGAGATTTACAATTTTTTGGATGGGAAAAGGGAAGAAGGAGGTTTGAAATGTGGTTTACGATACAACTATTTAATTAATCTTAAAGCATGAAATTATTTCTATTCATCTTGAAAACAAACATTGAAAAAAAAACTCCACACGTACAAAATACAAACTAAACACAAGGTTAATCAAGCTTACAATCTAAGGTTAATATCCTTAAAGTAAACATATATTTGTTTCATAAACTCCAGATCGCGTCTAGCCAAAATATCCCGAACTGGAACATTAGGTTGTCTACCTCGAGCCCGAAGGGAATCATAAAAATGTGATCTGACTCCACGATACTCCGCACAAGACCAAAGGATGTGATCAGTGTCCTGGTAACCTTGTCCACATTCACAGAGATTGCTGTCTCCCAACCCCACACGGAACAAGTGAGCGTTTAGACAATAGTGATTGGACATGAGACGAGACATCACGCGTATGAAGTCTCGACCCAAGTCCAACCCTTTGAACCATGCAAACTTCGACACCTTAGGGATAATTGAATGTAGCCATCATCCCAAGCTCCCTTCACTCCATTTATGTTGCAAGCTAACGAGCGACTGCTGACGATAAATAGAGAAAAATTCACTATAGGCGATTTGTCGATCATAAATGTCGCCTTCCATAGCGCCCACCTTCGCAAGTGAATCCGCCTTCTCATTGCCCAAAATTGAGCAATGCGAAGGGACCCACGCGAAGGTGATGATGAAAGAGCGCACGGGTAAAGCACTAAGCAGTTCTCGTATTTTCAAGAGAAAATACGAGAAGTGCTTTACCGGCCTAATGGAACGGATAGCCTCGACAGAACTGAGACTATCCGTAAAAATAAAGTAGTGGTCTGGAAGAAGTGAAGCAATAGTTTCCAAAGTGCAGTGAATTGCTGCCAGTTCAGCCACATACACAGAACAAGGAGCTTCAAGTTTTCGAGAGGCGCTATGAAATTCATTAAATACACCAAAACCAGCGGACTCCTCTATTAGAGATCCAACTGTGAAAAACGTTCTTGCAGAATCAACATGGCCAAACTTTGCAGCGTATAATGACGGAGCAATCATAGGACGATGATGCTCTGGAATTCCGCGGATTTCCTGCGTCATAGATAAATCAAAATTCACTGAATTGCCGATGTCGGAGAAGACTACACGATTGGGAATATTTCTTGAAGGGCTGACATCCTGTGTTAAATATAGGTAGTACAAAGTCATAAAACATATTTGTGGATTAAGCACCAGAAGCTTCTCAAAGTTTTCGATCACCAGTGGGTTCATTACTTCGCAACGGGTGAGGAGCCTCAGAGATAACTCTGAAAAACGGACGGATAGTGGCAACATGCCCGCCAGCACTTCGAGACTCATAGTATGAGTCGAGTGCATGCATCCTAACGCGATACGAAGACAACGATACTGGATCCGTTCCAGCTTGATGATGTGCGTTTTAGCTGCCGACTGGAAACAAAAACTACCATATTCTAGAACCGATAAAATCGTTGTCCGGTACAACGTCAGAAGATCTTGTGGATGGGCTCCCCACCACGTTCCGGTAATTGATCGAAGGAAATTGATCCTTAGTTGGCATTTTCGTCTCAGATACTCAATGTGGGATCTCCAGGTGCATTTGGAATCGAACCAGACCCCGAGATATTTAAAAGACATGGAATGAGTGATCGGTTTACCCAAAAGTTGAAGCTTCGGTTGTGCTGGGCTATGCTTCCTAGAACTCAGTTTTCTCCGTGGAGAATTCGATACCTAGCTGAATAGCCCAAGTACACAAATTGTTCAAGGTATCCTGTAAGGGTCCTTGCAGGTCAACCTCTTTTGGCCCTGTGATAGACACTACGCCGTCATCTGCAAGTTGTCTCAACGTGCAATTGTCACTAAGATAAACATCAATTTCTCTAACGTAGAAATTGCACAAAAGGGGGCTTAAACATGAGCCTTGGGGGAGACCCATGTAGCTAAATCGAAAAGCTGTAGAGTTTCCATGAGAAAAGCTCATATATTTTTCTGACAGCAAATTGTCCAAACAATTATTCATTAATGGAGACAATCCACAAGCTTGAGTTTCTCTGAAAGAACTTCAACGGATACTGAATCAAAAGCCCCCTTGATATCCAAGAACACAGAAACCATTTGCTCTTTCTTAGCAAAAGCTAACTGAATTTCCGAGGAAAGCAACGCGAGACAGTCGTTCGTTCCCTTACCTCTACGGAAACCAAATTGAGTATCTGAAAGAAGGTGGTTCGTTTCAACCCATTTGTCGAGGCGAAAAGGATCATTTTCTCCATAAATTTCCGAATACACGACAGCATCGCGATGGGCCAATACGAATTGTGATCCGACGCGGGTTTATCAGGCTTTTTAATGGCTATCACCCTTACTCGTCT